CGAAGCCAAAGAGTACGTAGTGGCAGCGTACTTAGACATAAAACAAGCCTTCGACAGAGTCTGGCATGATGGGCTACTCTGCAAAATTAAGCCCTTACTGCCACCTCAACTATATTTAATTGTGCAGAATTATTTGACAAACCGGTCATTTTCGGTAGTACTCGATGGAGTTGAGTCAAACATGAAGGCCATCGGGGCTGGCGTTCCTCAAGGGAGTGTGCTAGGGCCCACGCTCTACACCCTCTTTACCTACGATATGCCCACTGGCTCTACAATTGAAGTCGCGGACCCCCACGACCTTACAATCGCCACTTTTGCAGATGACACAGCCATCTTGTCAAGAAACGATTGTGTCTACGAAGCTACCGACGTCCTGCAGCAATATCTCCACCAATTTGAAATGTGGGCCAAGCGCTGGAATATTGGCATTAATTTAAATAAATGCGCCAATGTGACCTATGCGCTACGGAGGGACATGTGTCCGGGAGTTTTCTTGCGCGGCCAATTGGTGACGCACTTCAACAGCCACAAATACTTAGGTGTGCACCTAGACAGACGCTTGAACTTTAACAAGCACATCACAAGTGTTTCAGTAACCCTAAAGAACAGAATAAGAAAACTAAGATGGCTTCTGAACAGTAGAAATGCGCTATCTTTGAAAAATAAAGTCACCATTTATAAATCCTGCATAGCTCCCGCCTGGCGTTATGGTATGCAGGTATATGGCATTGCTGCAAAGTCCAGTCTTTCAAAAATCAGGGTGCTCCAAGCAAAAACGCTCCGATATCTGTCTGGTGCCCCCTGGTATATGAGAACCTCCGACTTGGAAAAAGACTTAGGAGTGCCCAAAGTCGGGGACATAATAAATATACAGGCCGCAAATTATATAGCGCGACTGAGAAGTCATCCTAATCGACTGGCTAGGCGTCTTCTGAATAGGCGCAGAATTGGAGGACTCCGAACGCGGAGGAGACTACGAAGGTCTCACCCAATAGATCTTCCAGATCGATTTATATAGTTGACACTGTAAATTTGTATATAAGACTTACCAGTAGAATAAGTAGATTGTAAATATTCATACAAATTTAATTTAAGTTGTTCCAGATAATAACAGAAAAATTAAAATAAAGCTAAACTTAATAATAAAAAGAGCTTGCTCCCTGCTTGTTGTTGCTGCTTTTCAAAGTTAGCGGCAGACAGCAGACGACGGCAATCAACAACGAACTCGGCGAAGCATCAACATGGTAAACAACAGAGGAAAATCCCAAAATGAGCAAGGGAAGCGAGGGGGCGGGGACAGGGGTAGGCGCGAGGGCTAGGCAATGGCAGGTGGCCCTGAGGGGGAGACCAACGTCAACGTCAAAGCCACAAAAAAAAAAAAAATAGAAGAAGTTCCAGTTGTCAGACGCTGAAATCATCAGAAATAAACAAAGCAAAAGCAAAAGCAAAGCTGAAGAAAAATAGTTTTAAAGTTGCATTGTTTTATGCAGGTGCCAAGGGGGAAAGGGGGGGGGGGGTTTGGCAGCTAGCTGAGGGAGTTTTTATTAAAAAGTCACAAGCGAGCTAAAATGGGAGCCTTAGCTAAGAGAAAGAAGAAGGCGAGGAGGCAGCGCAGACATGCAACAACCGGAAAATAATTATAAATTTAAAAAGCAACACGTGGAGTGGCAAAGGAGGGAGAGAGAGGGCAGGGCAGAGGGGGCTGACAGGTAAAGCGAGACAGAGACAGAGACAGACTTAGATCATATGCTGAGGTTTACATATCTGCAGCTGCATCTGAATTTGCTGTGGGTGGGGTGAGGAGGCGGGGATATGTGTGGGCCGCACTCGAGATAAACATCGCACATTTTGTGGTTTAGAATGCAAGAGTGTGTACGTGTGTGTGGCGTGTGTGTGCAAAAAGTGACGACTGTGGGAGTAGCTGCTGCCAAAGACAGAACCAGAACCAAAACCAGAGCCAGAAACACAACTGCGAAGAGGACGTCGTTGCGGCTGACGACCACGGCAATTAACAACTTCAACGTTTGTTGCAATTGCGCCTGGGAGTCAGACCCCCCCCCCCCCCCCCCCCCTCGTCCCACCGTCCCTCTCATGTGCCCCTTGTGGCTGTAGTTGGGCGTAGACAAATTGCATGCGGCCCATTGAAAAAGCGGCTCAGTCCAAACACATACAACACAACTGGGTGAGGGGAGGGCAAGTTGATGAAGAAGAAGAGGGGGGAGGGCGAGGGGGTGTATGCCACTTGGCATAGCGTTAAGGTTGGCTGCAACAACAGCGCGAAAAATGTGCAAAGAACAAAAGGCAGCCGCAAAAAGAACCCAAAATAAAATGTTTAAGATACATTTTTTTGCTTGTGAAGAGGTGCGTATAGGGGGAGGGGGAGGGGGAGGGGGGAATAACAAACAGTGGCATAAATTTTAGCGGATTTGAGCAGAAGAGACAATGCAAGCGCCGAAAAACAGAGATGGCTAGCAAAAGATACAAAGATACAAATGTATCTGAAGAGTGTACAGCGTTCATTTTTTTGTTGGGCAGCCTCTAGTTGGGCTTAATTAGGCACCAGCTAAATGAAACGCAAACAAATGCGAATTAAATGCGCAGTCCGGGTGTGGTCAAAGGGGGCGTGGCTAGGGAGAGGCGGGCACACACACTCTATTAGCCCGAAAGTATGCAGTGGCTAAAAGCGCGTGTAACAATGCGGCAAATGCCAAGGCAGAGAACAAAATAAATAGCTGGAAAGTAGGAAAAAAGGCTGTGGCCAGGACGAGAACACGCGCAGCTATGCGGCAAGCACTGGGAACAGTTTGAGCGGCACAGGCAGCTGCAGTCGCTCTCAAACTGCATGCAGGCCACAGCCTAAATTCAATTTGGCAACTCGAGCAAACACTTTGCAAAGAGCCCAACAAAAAGGGGCAAGTGGCTGGGCGGGCAGGGGAAGGAAGGGGAGGGGTCAGGGATATACTTCAAATGCAACCTAGTTTGGCAGCTGGTGCGAAGCATCTTCCAGAGACGCCGCCGACGACGACGACCCGCATAAAAGTTTGAAAAGGCGACTCGCCCCGTGGCAACGTCTTGGGTTCTGTGAGTGCCCGTGCCTGTGGCCCGCATATTGTTGCAACACGGGGCGACGGGCTGTTGCATGCAAACACATGAGCAGAAAAGAAAGGAGCATGCGGCCAGCTAGTTCTGCAGCAGTTGAGGACCTTTTGATGCAAAAGTTTGCAACGAAATTTCCAGCGAAAACTAAATTAAAATGTGAATAGATGCGGAAGCAAGTCGAGCAAGCGCACAGAGGGGAACTGCACGGGATTTGGAAGCTGTGTTGTGCAGCGCAGTGTCAACAACAATTTAATTATTAAGCGGATTATGCTCTGTTGAGCTGTGTGCAAGAAGGTGAGCTCGGCAACTTGGCAAGAGATTGGCAGGAAGCGATTGAATTGGGGAGTTACTTAGAGTGGGCGTCCTTTGCTTATGGCCAGCAGAAGAAAATTAATAATTGCAATTAAATATAATTTGTAATATTACTACGTTTCAATATTAAATTGAATTATCAGACTCTGCCAAATAAAAATGTTATTGTCTAATAAATTATTTTGTAGCTTTAATTTTATAACTACGCAAATTATTATTTATTTATTATTTCACATTTGTTGATTATTATTTTGAATATTTTAATAGTTTCATTATTTGTAGTTATCATGTTAAAAGTTTTTCTATTTTTTATTTAATATATTTTATTATTATATTATTTATTTTATATTTAATTATTTAATGTAATAAACTTTTTGAATTTACTTAAAAGCCCTTTAAATTAGTTTATTGAAATAATGCAATTATAATATAATTTATACAAAAATATATTGAAATGAAATATTTAATATTGGAATTATGAATTACTTTAATAGTTTTTCGTTTAATACTTGTTAAATTTAAATTCTTTTAATTGGCGCCATTTTGCTTCGCCACCTAGCGAATTATAAAAAAAACACACGCTGCGTGGCGCCACAGTGCAACGCGCTCTAGCAGCAGTGCGGCCAACTAAACTGTGCTCTGGGAACAGATTTTAACGTACGCTAGGTAGCGCCACTGTACACGCGACATCTAGCGGCTAACTATAAGGCAGCACAGCCGCAGCACTTGAGCATCACTGTGGCGCTCTCTGGCGTCGATTAAATGCGCAGCTGGCTCAACTGTACCCAGCAAATCTGGCCTGGCTGTCAGATTGCAATTGCCAAAAGCGCAACTAATTTTGAAATTTCAAAATTGTTAAATAAATAATAAAAGCAATAAGACACCGGCGGACACACCCAACGCCATCAGCAGCGAGTCAAAAGGCAGCTTTGAAAGTGTTTAAAAAATATATTGCTGAAAGAATTGGCCAAACGAAACGCAAACGTGTAATCCCTGCCATTTGGGCATTGGACACACACACACACACACACACACACACACACACATGCTTACTCTTATTGATGCCTAATAAACCACAAGAACAACAACAAAGACGCGCAGATTATGTCAAATTATATGGAGGTTTTGAAAAAAGGTGCGGTTCAGTGAAGTTGAAGTAGTTGAGCGCGGTGAGAGAGAGTGGGAGAGGAAGGGGGGGGGGGGGGGGGGGGGGGGGGGAGGAGAGGTAGACGCTTGACCAATTTGTCAGTTGCATTCCATGTACATATACATATGCATATACATATACATATAACTGTGGGCATTCATTCATTTATTGAGTTTTTGTTGTGCCATTTGCCAGTTTTATGACACACTGCCACGCCCCCTCAGCTCTAGCCAACCCACCCAGCACACATGGGCAATAAAATGTTTAGTACTTTCGCTGCAACTGGGATTTTTATGGGTCAGTCCCAGGGTCCTAGTTAGATTAGTGGAACATATGCCCAGGGACAATGCAGCGCCTTTTGTGGCAGGTCAGCAGCTCGATAAGCAGAGAGAGAGAGGGGGCAAGGGGGTGGGGGGTGGGACTGCTGATGTCATCGACTCACCTGTGAGAAGTACGCTGGTAACACGCAGCGCTGGTCATCGAGACGCGAGCCGCACTGCACCCGCTCCAGCAGCTCGAAGAGATCCTGTGTGGGTCCGCGCAAGCGTTCCGGACTGTGCGTAACGCTGCCGCCGCCTGTGGCCGGTTGTTGCTTCTGTGTGCCCGCCATGAAGGCATGCTGGCGTCTGCAAGGAGCGAGAGAGAGAGATAAGATAAGTAAGAGAGAGAGAGAGAGACAAGATACAGGAAACTGCTTAATAATAGTGCACGCGAAAAGCTAATCACAATCTTTTTGCTAGCGTGTGCCCAGCCAAGCCCAGCCCAGCCAAGCCAAGCCAAGCACTTGGCAATGTCACAGCTGAGCTTGGCCCAGACCAAAGCAAAGCAAAGCCAAGTCAGCCACAACATGCAATCTCTTCATGCTTCAGCGCCAATCCAAGTGCAAGTCCAAGTCCAAGTCCAAGTCCGACTATGCGCATTCAACAATCTTCAATTGACTGCGCACACTCGAGTGGCGAAACCCTCGTCTTCGGGGTTTACCCGAAGGCAAGCTCTATGGGAACACGTCGAGAAGTGGCCACTAGAGCAGTCACTTGCAAGGACCGCGAGTTCCATTAAGGTTAACCAATTTGCTAGGGAGGGCGCACACAAAGAGCTCGAGTGGTGACTGCAGAAAGATTCAATAGAACAACAGATTGACAGCTAAGCAAAGTCAAGCAGAACGTTTAAGAACAGAAGGGAAATCAAGTAAAAGCAAAACTAAAGAAACAAACGAAAGTGAAAGGAAATAGAGGCAAGAAAAATAAAATCAAACTGCAAAATTATTTATAAAACTTGAAAAAGTAACAGAAAGTAAGTCTTAAAATTGGAATAAAAAGATATAAGAACCTCCTAGAGATAAAAGGAATATGCGAAGAAATTTATCAAGTAATAATATTTTAATAAAAAGTGATTTAATTTACGCTGCCAAAAGTGTGGAAAAAGAATGATACGAATCAAGTTTAAAGAGAGTATCTAACAGCGAATTAAAGAGAATTATGGATAGTCAAATCTTGAAATTTAGAAGAACTGTTGTTAGAGAAATCTTTGAATTAATAATAAGTTGATATATGATATATATGATATATATGATATACATGATATACATGATATATATGATATATAAATTAATACATTGAGAGGTGGGAACTGCAACATTCTCATGTATCTTGCAAGTAGTTGAAAGTGTCTAATGCCGTGCCAAGCTTTCGATTCAAAGTCTCAATTGAATCGTTCTCTGAGAACAATTGCAATCAAAGCTCAAGGATGCTTAATCTAATTCTTCAGCTCGGCTTGCCGCTGCAGTCGGGCAGTCAAGAGCTGCTTAAGGATAACTTTTCGGTTGTGTTTTTTATTTATGGTTATTTTTTTTTTTTTTTTTCCGCTGCGAAAAATCGTAGAGTTGAGTGGAATATTTCTCAGGTTCTTGAGAGTTGCGTTCACGCATCAGGGAATACGAAAAGAAAGGAAAAAAAAATTATGAGTGCCACTTGAATATTTCATATTTCATATTTCTGTTCTTTTTTTTGTTTTTATTCATGTTTTTTTGTCACTTGTGCAATGTTTCTGTGTGTGTTTGTGTGTGTGAGCTCATCTTTTTGGTGTGTTTTTTTTTTGGTTTGGTTTGGCTGAACTTTTGTCGCAGCAGCCGCCACTTTGTTGACACAGAAACAACAAACGCCTCGCTGGGCACACGGAGAAGCGGAAGAGGGGCTGGCCTGGTGGGGGCAGGCTCAGCTGGCCAAGGAGCCAAACATGTTGAGGATGTTGCAGTTGTTCCTGTTGTTGTTTACTTTGTTGCCGTTGTTGTTGTTTTTATTGCGTGTGTGCAGCTGCCTTTGCTCCACATTCGAAAGACAACAAGAAATACAACTAGAATTTCAGTTGTTGTTGTTATTTTTAAACAATTTGTTGCTGCCTCGCTCTGCTCTGCTCTGGTCTGCTCTGCTCGTCCCGACAACTCCTGGCTGGCCATAAATTAACACCTACACGAAGCTGAAGCTGGAGCTGCTTGGCACACATAAAAGTATGACAGTTATGGCAAAAGGATATCGAAACAAGGCGACAGGCCTGCCCCTCTCAGGCATATGCATCATCAGCTCTGATCATTGAAACAACAAGGACAATAAAACCCCGAGTGTTGATAGTTTTTAAGTGACAGAGAAAGTGGATGTTAGATCTAACCCGTTGCATGGTAATACGAGAAGTTTTAAATAGAACCAGCCAAGGGATGAGGAGGAGGAGGAGCTACAGCTGCCTGCTTTATAGGGTATATGACATGTGTGGGTTAGTCAGAAATGATAAACGAATAAGGTAGACAGTTAAATGAATAACTAGCTGAAAATTCATGCACTCTTCTTGATTTTAAATAACTAAACTTTTTAGTGCAATTATTGAAAATGTAAAAAAAATATTTAAAAAATACATTTATCAAGAATTGGATGAATAATATGATTATATTCAGGGAAAACAAATTTTTTAAATTCGATTTATATTAAATAATAGAAAATACTAACAATAATTTATCAATTCAATCTAATTATAATTCAATTATATTCATATTTTTTAATATATATTTTTTAATTTTTTTGAATTTTCGACAATGCCTTATGTCTCTCCTATTCTTAAATATATATTTATTTTCTAGGATTTCTTTCAACCAATAAACCCTATTGAATCTGTTCATGTTTAATATTTCTTTTATATTTTATATATATATTTATATATTTATTTGAAGCTCACGTTTGTAAATATTCAATATTCTGCTGTTCATTCGAACTGTGAACTCAGAGCCGAATGCAATATCCGAATTTATTTAATTGATTTATGCATCAATTCGTATTTTTTTTTTTACAGAAATATTTCTGTTATTTTTGGGCGAACCAACTCATCGAAATGTTGACTTTCCCAGTAAATGCAAGTTAACGCCTCGCTGACAGCCATTCGACAGTTGAATATACTGAATCGTTACATATTTTCGGTTTTTGTCAAACATATTTCTAGTATCTTTGGGCAACAATGCCCGAATATATTTATATATATGGCAACCAACTAGTTTCGGCTGATCAAATTACGAGCGAGCGATTTTATTGCATTTTTATGACAATTTTTCACATGATTTGTCGCTGCAAAATTGAAATAGAAATCGAAAATTGAAATAAAAATGGGAATAGGAATCCAGCGCAGGACATGAACATAAAACTGTTGCCCTAACAAGCAATAAAAATGAAAATACACACATATGACAGGGCGCAGAGAGCGGCAACAGAAGGGGGAGCGGGGATATGTCTGTGTGTTGTCTGAGGCTATGATTCAAGGTTAATGCAACTGCAACTGCAACAAGATACAAGAAGGGTATATTGCTTTTGTGCAGAAGCATGTAACAGACATACGCAACATTCGTGATCAGCTTTAACTGCCGGCCAATCGATAACTCGTTCAACGAAACCGATAAAACTCATCCGATATGCGATTCGATTGGAGCACTAAACGACAGGCAACTATCTTAGTATGTGAAATATCTTACAGTATACGGATATTCAAAAGATTTCACATTGAATTGAAATATTTTGAAGGCATAGTCTTGAACTTTGGTATTTACACTCATTTGAATGTCATGTTTGTGCCCTGAAATTTTCATAAAGATCGGACAACGAGCACCGAAGTTCACGTAGATGTTCACAATAGTAAGGAACAAGAAGAATGTGTGCAGTTTATGTTTATAAAAGAAAACTAGATTGTGTGTAAAGGCAGCACAGTATTAGACTCAGGGTATTGCCTAGTCGGGCACTTCCGAACAGTGCACCTTTTGTTCCTGTTCTTCTTTTAGATTGATGATAGCTTAGGCTTAGCTCTTGCAGAGTCTGCTGATGATATCGCTGGGTTTGTTCTGCCTGCTATTGTGGAACTGTGCCAGAGCCACCCACAAAAGAGAATACACTCACTTCCTGTTGCGGTTGCGCCTGCGTCTAACTGTTTGGCTGGCATTGTTAAAGACGCGAGGCGGGCGGCGCTAGGTGGAAGGCCACGCCCACTTAATTAAAAGCTATTAAAAGCAATACAATGCGCTAATACTTCCTATGCGAACCTCTGTTATTTTTCCGCACCAAAAAGTGTTCATTAAATGCAAATTTATGTCACCCACCCAAGCGACGCCTCCCCCCGGCTCACACCTAAGCCCACTCTTTGCCACGCCCCCACCCCCACCCCAACCTTCACCCTCACCTTTCGGCTAGAACTTAGCTCATTTGGCATGCGCGGCGCATTGCGCGTGTGTTTAAAAAGTTTTGGCCGCCGAGCGGAAAATGCAAAGAAAAACAATTACAGTAAAAACAACCAGGGAAATAGGTGGGGGAGATGGGGACAAGGGGGCGTGGGTACGTCGGGGCGTTGACAGTTGCAGGAGAGAGGAAGATATATGAGCTGCTATGCAGCACTTAATCACAGGCCGCAACGACAACAGAATCAAAAAAAAAACAAAGCAGGGTTTAGGTTTTTGGGTTTTGATTCTTGGCCAGAGCCCGCAGCTGTGCCTGCGTGGGAAACACTTGCTCGGCCGGGCAGGAAAAACTCCCGCACAAAGGCAGGCAGCGGTTGGCTTTTGATGGGCCGTCCCCAGGCGCTAATTAAGCGCAGGAGCAGCCGATGCAGACGGCAGAAAAGTGTCTAGTTTTTCCAATTGTCGGTGAGAAATTACAGGAAATGTCCAACAACAGCAACAGACACAAAAAAAAACGAAGAAAGAAATCAAGTCCCAAAGGACAAAGGACACACACACACAGACACAGACACGCAGCCAGCTAATGGGTCAGTTTTTAGTCGCACTTTGGAAACTGGAGCACAAAACTGATAGCATCAGAAGCTGTCTCCCTCGCACGCACACAAACACACACAGGCAGGACGTGGCAAGGACTACAGTGCGATGCACTGCGCCGATAAGCAGAACCCGTTGCCGGACAGCCGAGAGGGACAATGACATGTAAAAGGATATGCGAGCAAAAAGTCAAAACCTCAACAGCAGCCCGACCTATGGCCCGAGACCCCGATGGCCATAATTAATAGCATAATTGTAGCGTGTAAAGTCGGCCGGCGGCGGCAGGATGTGTTATAAATTTATAGGAAAACTACGTGAAAATTACAACAGTTA